ATTTCATCCTAACCATGATCCGAAACAGCAGGTAGCAACGTCAGAGCCTGAGCCTTGGAGAGAAGCAGTTTGCTCAGGGACCTAGACTGACAGGGTAAGAAACCAGAGGGGATCAGGGTGGAATCCTATTACTGCTGCCTCCTGCCCCACCCGGCCTCCCAAGGAGGTTTGGGGTGTTTCTGGACTTAGCTCCCAGGCACAGAGGTGGGGCTGCAAATACAACTGAAACCGAGGGGGACCCTGTGGGGCTCCCAGACACAGAGGCCTTTCTGGTAGGCAAGACTCCAGCCATTATGACCTTCCCTGAGTTCCAAAGGGAGGATTCGAACAGTTGGCTAATCAACCAAGAAACCACCTAAGGCAAGATCAGAGGGACTAGAGCAGCTCATCAAGATTAGAAGACCAACCACCTGAGAGCCAGCATACTCCCTGATCTTGTCAGCAACCCCATCTTTGACCCACTGTTATAAAAACCCTCAAGTTCTCTGGAAAAAGAGACACATAGCTTTTCCAGGCAGAAGCCTGGTGTGTCCCCCTTTGCCTGGCCACGTAATAAAGCTGTCCTTCTCTGCTTCACCCACAGCTCTGGTCTCCAGGGTTTGGTTCCGCATCGGTGCACAGAGAGACTGAGCTCTCACTAACACAACCCTGACGTTTTAGTTCTTAGACTGCATCTTAGCACTGATTCTGGGTGGCCGTCCCAAGGAGAGATCTCCTGGAGATCTTTTTGCTGAAGGAACTTTGTTTCATCTTTGCAGGAACTTAGGAGGCTTTTGTTTTTTCCTTTCAGTTGCTTTTATGAGTCACTGGGACCAGGCCCATGAAACGCGTGCCGGTTAGGAAGCACCTCCCTGCAACCCCGCAGCGGGCAGCCCAGCAGGACTCAGTGAGGTGCCCCAGCCTCCACCATCACCAGCTCTAAGTGTTGGAGGGCCGGACAGGGCCTGTCATTCTTCAGGTATCTGCATAGTCAGAGATGATCGTTTACACTGCAGGATGAACTTAATGGGAGCCACCTTACAGCTACAAATGTAACACCTTCATTTACCTAAGCATTCTGAGCAACTTCAAGTTCCCAAGTGGAAACACTGCTTAGGCAACTTCCTATTCCTGAGAATCTGGAAGGGTCTGTCTTTTGGTAATCTGTTTTAAAATTAGAAGACTGGGTTCAGTGTTTGTGGAAAAGATTGTGGCTCAGTGTTTAAGACCCTGTGCTTCTAATGCAGGGGGTATGGGTTTGATCCCTGGACTGGCAACTGGAACTAAGATCCCACATGCCTTGTGAAAGTGAAGTCACTCAGTTGTGTCCAACTCTTCGCGACCCCCTGGCCTGCAGATCACCAGGCTCCTCCATCCATGGGATTTCCCAGGCAAGAATACTGGAGTGGGTTGCCATTTCCTTCTCCAGGAGATCTTCCCGACCCAGGGATTAAACGCGGGTCTCCCACATTGTAGGCAGACGCATTACCATCTGAGCCACCAGGAAAGCATGCCTTGTGGCAAGGCCAAAAAAAAAAAAGTGAGCAGAAGGCTAAAGTCCCTGAAGGGAAAAAAATATGCCCTGCCCTGCCCTCAGGAACGTGATTCAGCAAGTCCAGATTCCTTGGTACTAATTGTGGTTCAGATGGTAAAGAATCTGCCTGCAATGCAGATCCGGGTTCAATCCCTGGGTTGGGAAGACCTCCCTGGAGAAGGAAATGGCAACCCAACCCAATATTTTTGCTTGGAGAATTCTATGGACAGAGGAGCCTGGAGGGCTACAGTCCATGTGGTCACAAAGAGTAGGACAGAACTGAGCGACCAACACATACACACATTCTGATGCAAGTGGTCTTTGGACCATGTTTTAACAAACACTATTAAAAACACTGGATTCCACTCTGCTGACAAAGGTCTATATAGTCAAAGCTACAGTTTTTCCAATAGTCATGTATGGATTTGAGAGCTGGACCAAAAAGAAAGCTGAGCACCAAAGAACTGATGTTTTCAAATTGCGGTGCTGAAGAAGACTCTTGAGAGTCCCTTGGACAGCAAGGAAATCAAACCAGTCAATTCTAAAGGAAATCAAGCCTGAATATTCATTAGAAGGGCTGATACTGAAGCTCCAATCCTTTGGCTACCTGATGTGAAGAGCCAACCCTTTGGAAAAGACTGTGATGCTGGGAAAGACTGAAGGCAGGAGAAGGGGACAGAGGATGAGATGGTTGGATGGCATCACTGACTCAATGGACATGAGTTTGAACAAATTCTGGGAGGCAGTGAAGGACAGGGAAGCCTGGCATGCTGCAGTCCATGAGGTTGCAAAGAGTCAGACACGACTTAGCAACTGAACAACAACATTAAAAACACTATTAAAACATCTAATCTTGGGACTTCCCTGGCAGTCCAGAGGTTAAGATTCCATGCTTCCACTGCAGGGGCATGGGTGTCATCCCTGGTCGGGGAAATAAGATCCCGCAAACCACAGGAGGAAAATAAACCTAAAACGTCTAACCTTGAGGCAGATATTTCATTCCACTTTGTATTTCTTTTGAACATAACCTTCCAAGTCCTTATCTAGCTGTGACCTGAAGGCAGAGACAGTGTCCATTGCATTCCTACCCCTGGAAAGACCACTTATCTGCATGGAGCAGACAGGCAAATGTCTATGACCAGAGCTGAACACTCAGTGGACCCCTGGGCAGCATCTCTGAAGCATTTTCTGTTCCTAAGTTCCTGAATCTCTCTGGTGAGGTCATGAACCTCTCTCTAGGGCTGGCGTGGCTCTGTACCCAGGACAGTGCCTGGGAAGCCAATGACTGTTCCCATCTGATCCCATCATTAATGGAGCCTGGCAGCCAGGCCAAACCATTGGCACATTTCTCAATTGCTCAGCTCCAGTGTCACTAGCCAAGTTCTACTCCATTTCCTTGATCCGGAGCAAGCCAAGAAAAACAGTCAAGTACATCAGAGTTAAGCTGCAGGAAGGCAGCCGAAGTCAGAGATGGGGGCAGGCGGGTCATTTCATGACTCTAGCTCCAGGCCCAAATCCCGCGTGGCCCAGCCATTCCATTTCTCCTGCACCTTGCAAAGGAAGAAAAGGTGCTGTCATCTGTGGTCCTGGGGCCTTTTTTCAGAAGAGGAAACTAGTGTTAAAGAACACAGGATGAATGGGCATGTTTCCAGGCTCACAGTCCATGAGGCAGCTGACATTTCACTCAAGTGCCTGGGGATAAGAACTGGTAAAGTCAGCAGCAAGTCCAAACGAAGCTCTGCAGTGGATAGGTACCGACTCAATTAAATGTAGGACAGAACATTTTGTTGTTGGTTGAAAAAAGTTTACAGAAAAGTGCAAAATATCCTAGTATTTGTAGGGATGTGAGATAAAACACTACTTGTAAACATTCTCTTGCATCTGATGGAATTCTTCCAGAAAGAACAGAATAAACTGATAACACTAGTTTACCTCCAGGAGGTGCCTTGGGAGACAACGGTGGGTTCTCTTGGAACTTAGCCAAGATAATTTTTTTTTGGTGAGTTCTGGGGTACCTTTCAAACAATGTGAATTTTTGCAAAATCGTATATAATTACATTTCTTCATTAAAAAATGAGCTTGGGGTGACTTCCCCAGTGGTCCAGTAGTTAAGTCTCCATGCTGCCAATACACCGCGGAGGTGGGGGCGGGGGCAGGTCGTGGCGGCAGGTGTGGCGGCAGGCGGGGAGGTTTGGATCCCTGATTGTGGAACTAAGATTCCACATGCAGCTCAGTATGGCCAAAAGATTTTTCTTTTAACTTAGTTTGTGTTTATTCATTTAGTATTTACTAAATACATGCCTAGCTCTTGCTGTTCTCCAGAGCTGGAAGGGGGGGAGTGGAAACAAATCATCAAATAAGTCATCACCTGTGACAGATGTTAGCAACAGGGCACCGGGAGCCGCTCCTGGCCTCGCTGGGACGGAAAAGTGGCGAATCAGAAAAGGTTTCCTCCAAAAAGTACTTTCTAGGCCAAGTCTTAAAGAGGAAGACGAGTGACTAGTACCAATTTCTGTAGGACTGCTACAAGCGTGAACTGTGATGAGTATGCGGCCACAGGACTTAGAGGACATCACTCTTTTAACTATTCTTATACCATTCCCTTGAATGTGGGAAAAATAGTGGGCAGCCATGGAAAAAGACTGAAAATACCAGATGCTGTACCATATTCTGCCTCCTCGCCCCCAGCCCACTCTCCTCTACAGTCACCCAAACACATCAAATAATCCAACTGTGTTAGGTCTGAGAAAGTGAACTAAAAGAGCTGACGTTTAAAGTGCTTACGAGAACGCCTGGCACAGCGGAGACGCAAAGCTTCGCAAACACCGCCCCCCCCACCCCCCGCCCCGTCCACCAGGTAAAAATTCCCAAAGCCCTTGAGCTGCTGGGCGAGCCCGGGCTGTAGGGAACTTGGGTTTTCTTCCCGATACGTTACTAAGATTCCAGACTTGGCAGGAGCCTGGAGCCGGACCTGCACTTGGAAGCCGGACCTGCACTTGGAAGGGCAGAGCCGGCTCCGCCCTCGACCTGCACGGCAGGCACCCTTCATCCCCCTCTGCCTCGGTTCCCTTGACACGGAAACCCCAGCAAGAACGCTCGAGCTTCCTACAACTCCTCTACCCAGGCGATCTGCCCAGGAGAATGGAGAACGTCCTGAGGATGTTGCGCAAACCCCCCGGGCGTGGCGAGCAGGTGGCCCCCGTGCGTCCGCTGCCTGGTGCCGCGAGCGCAGACAGGTGCCCGCGGGCACGCCGTCCCCTCTCCCTGCGCCGCCTCCAGGAGCACGCGGGCTCTGGGCCTCCCCAGCTGGTGCCTCGGCGCGGCCTCCCCGGGCGCGCGGTGCCCAGCCGGGCCGCGACGCTGCCCGCCCCGCCTCCCCACGCGCGGTGCCGGGTGTCCTCGCCGCGGCGGGGACGCGCGCCCTCCCTCGCCCCGGAGAGGGGCTTCCTGGAGGCGGAGTCCGCTCCGCCCGCCCGCTGACGCTCACCAGTTCCCAGAGCCCACGATGCACACTTTCAGGGGCGCCGCTGCCATGGTTCAGGCCGAACGCTGCAGACCGGCGCGCGCCTACCGGGTCGGCTGCCCGCCTCCGCCCGCTCGGCATGAACCCGCAGCGGCGCACGGCGGCCCCGCCCCGCCGCCTCTCGGCCAATGGCCGCGACCACCCCCGCCCGGGCGCCCGGGGCCACAGCTGACAGCCCGGAGGGCCCGCCCCGCCGCTCCCGAGAGCCACTGCGCACGCCCAGCCCTGCGAGGCCCCGCCCAGTCCAGCGCGAGGCCTTTCGGGACTTGTAGTCCGCCTCCCCAGACCGCCTCTCCCGCCGCGCCACGTGCAGCTCTGGCTGGTTGCGCCGAGATTCGCGCTCCGGCCGCAGGGGACGCGCCGCCTTCCCCGCGGAGCAGGCTTGCTTAGGTGCCCCCCGCTCCACCTGTCTCGGAAGGCGCTGCCGGGCTGCAATTTGAAGCCAAGAGAGGACGCTGGACTCTAAAGTCAGCCCGGCTTCGGCCAGAGCCCCAAGAGGCCACTTAAGTTTCTTCAGACTCTGCCTCACCTGTGGAAACAAGAAACCGCCTGGCACCGCCGAACTTCGCGGTGGCCGCGTGTCTTCAGAGGCCTTTGAGAATTGACCGGAGAGTACCTGCTCTCCAGGGTGGAAACTTTCTAGAGTCAGGGCAAGGGGGAGAGACCTGGGCATGGGGGCGTCGCCCTCACCACTGGCTTGGCAGGACTTGGCTCCTCAGTGGTCTTCGCCCCGGGGCACCGGAAGGGTTTGAGGTTCCGAGCCCTCGCTTCCCTCCTTTCTGAGAAACTGAACGTTGGGTATCCATTCTGAGCATCACTTTCCACCAGGCGCCGCGCTGGACCCTGAGGAGGAAATGAAGTGTTGTGAACCAGAGCTTCTCAACTCCACTACAACCATGAGTCTCTGGAACTTTACAAAACCCCCACGCAAAGGCATCACCTCAGACGGATTGCATCAGAATCTCCCGGAAGACGATACAAACATCCGAATTTTTTAATGTTCAGGGGGTGACTACAAAAGGACTCAAGATTGAGAACCAGAGAACTAAAATATCAGAGACTGGCGGAGGAAGCAAATACTCTAGTACCGAGAAAAAGATTAGGCCTGTTAATTTGATGCCCAGAGGATTAACTGTTACTTCTGTTACGTCTATATTATGAAAAATTTTACTTCTATTACTTATGGTACTCACTCAAGAAACTCCCTAGAGAGAGTGGGTGAGACAAAGCATGCTTTGCACCCCTCACTGGTAGTTTGCTTTCAGTTCTTTGCCAGGACAGATGCCAAAGCAGGAATAACTCGAAAGGTGGACTATCTAAACTTTATTCATTTTTATCCCCTTGCATTTGTGTTTTTAATGCATTTGCCTAACACAATGATGAACTCGTACTTGAGGCAGCACACTGCCAAGATTTATGCCAAGTGATCGGTTCATGTTTAACCTTTGCCTAAAAGATTTATACCTCATGTGGACACTGGTTTCCCCGATGTTGCAACTGCGCCTGCGTGAAAGTGAGTGGTCTGGCTGTTCTGTGAACTCATCTTAAACAGCATCATCATAGAGGGTTTATCGGCCACCCGAGATACACAATACATTGTGCCAGGATGGACATAGTGAGTAGCCATTTATTTTATAGACCGGTTGCAAAGATCAAAACCAAAACCACAGAGGTGAAACCCATGGGTAGAATGTTGAGAGAATAGAGCAAACTGCAAGAGATTGCACACGGTAGAATTCTAGTTCTGTCGGTTCAGAAACAAGCAAAATTACAGGAATCACTGTAGATATATACATATGTACTATAACTGTAAAGGAAAAGAAGGGAAACAAACCCAAAATTCAGGGGTTGTGGTTCTAGTGGAGAGGAGGGTTGGTTATTCTTTATATTATTGTGTATATGTTAGAAACATGTTTATATATCGACCTAATGAAGAGCATGGGGAAGGGGAGAAGGTCTAGCGCCAAGATCTCTGGTTCTCTGCCAGTCCGCCTCCTGGTCTGCTAAGATGGCAGTCTGCCAGTTGGCCTTCTGTGGGTCGCCTTCCCCAGGAGGGTTGAACAACCCAGAGGACAACACGTTAGTCAGTCTCATTGGACAAGCCGACTCTTAAGGGACCTGGAGAAGTCCCAGGGTGTTTACGACTCAGTGCATGGTGCATGGAGACAGCATGACTGGATTAGGCATTTATCTTGATGGAAATTCATCAGGCAGCTAGGAGAAGCCAGGAAGCCCTTTAGAAACAGCCCAGCTGTCTCCTTCACCAGGTCACTGAGTTCCTGAAGCACAGTTTTGATTTTCTACCTTATAGGAGAGGATGGCAACAGGATTGGCAAGCTCTCGTCTGTAACTGGAGACTCCTTTCCTCTCTTAGGCCCTCACCTCCAGCCTTCCACCCTGTCTCTGACACCGTCCCTGGGCCTTTGGACGCCTGCCTGCTGCCGGGTCCCAAAGCCAATGGTGCATGTCAGGCAGCAACACTCCACTTCCAGGGCTCAACAACCCCCTGGTTATTTCTTGTTGCTTAACAGAGCATCCCAAGGTTAGGTCTCCAGACCACCACATTCATTTATTTAGCTCTAGAATCAGAGGGGATAGCTCTCTGCACATGGGGTACATGATCAAAGCAAGTTGGAGGCTTCACTTCCAAGGTGATTCATTTGCTGCTAAGACCAGGTGCAGCCAAATAAAAAAAAAAATTTTTTTTTTTTTTTAAGAAAAAAGGTGCAGTCAGCAAGATGATGGGCTGGGAGGGGACCCAAAGGAGCTCTTCTAGGCAGAGGGACTAGTATTGGCTAAGATTCAGAGATTACAAACAGATGACATGTTCAGGAACTAAATGGAACTCAGCAAGGATAGAAGGGAGAACAAATAAGGGCAAGAGTGTGAAGGGCAGGGGAAATGAAGAGAAATGAAAGTTGGGAGGTAGAGGAGGTGTCTGGTCATGATAGGCCTTGTAAACCGTACCAGAGAATTAGAACTGAAATCCTAAGGGCAGAAGCATTGTAGACTTTCAGGTCAGGGCCAGGAGGCAGAGCCCAGGTGGGAGCCTGTTTATTTGTTTCTAATTAATTTTTATTGGAGTAAAGTTGATTTACATTGTTGTGTTAGTTTCAGGTATACAGCATATGCACACATGTTGTATATATGCATATTTTTGTTCTTTTTTAGATTCCATTCCCATATAGATCATTACAGAGTATCGAGTAGAGTTCTCTGTACTATAACTAATAAGAAGTTCTCTTATCAGTTATTTTTTATTTTAATTTTTTTTCCCCACATCACGGGGCATGTGGCAGTCTTAGTTCCCCAACTAGGGATTGAACCTGGGCCCCAGGCAGTGAAAGCACAGACTCTTGTGAAGTACAGATCGGCTACAAGGATTACATCACTTGCTGCTGCAGCTGCTGACTTTCAACACCCACTGTAAGGATTTCAGGGTGGAAAGCAGACATGAGGCACCCTGTGCTCTGGGAAAAACTGGCTGAACAGGGCTTCAGATAGTTAAATATTTTCAGGAGCTGATTTTATGAGCCCAATTCTTGTATCTCCTGATTATCTAGAAAAGCACTAAAATCCTTCATGATGACAACTACTCCTCGTGACCAGTAGAAACCTGCAAAAAAATACATGCTTGACTGCCTGTACCCCTCTTCACTAAAATCACGTGTATACTGACCTTGCACCCTACCTCTTTGAAGCAGGGTCTCAGAGCTGTCTCCCAGGCTATAGTATACTTCATGCGTGTGTGCTAAGTTGCTTCAGTCGTGTCTGACTCTTTGTGACCCTGTAGACTGTACCCCACAGGCTCCTCTGTCCGTGGGATTCTCCAGGCAAGAATACTGGAGTGGGTTGCCAGGCCCTCCTCCAGGGGATCTTTCCCAATCCAGGAATTGAACCTGCATCTCCGATGTCTCCTGCATTGACAGGCAGGTTCTTTACCACTGGTGCCACCTGGGAAGCTCCCATAGTATTCCTCATTTTGCCCCAAATAAAACTTAACTCTCAACTTTCATGTTGTGCATTTTTCTTTTCAGTTGGCAGTCCTAACCTCTGGACTGCCAGGGAAGACCCCACTTATCTATTGTTTATATAGTAGTGCATATCCATGTATATGTCAGTCCCAATCTTCCAATTATCTTTCCCTCATCGTGTGCCTTGGTAACCATAAGTTTGTTTTCCACAGCTGTGATGCAGTGTTTATTCTACATGGGAAGTGATACAGGGTACATAGGATGGAGGTCAGTGTGGTGGTGACAGCGATGGGAAGATGTGGGTGAAACTGAGACATGCCTAGGAAGTAGAAAAATAAGACTTCCTGCTTTTGGGGGGCAGAGAAATGAGAGTCTAGGATGTCTCCAGCTTTCAGGCTTGGGTAATTGAATAAGCATCATTTGCTAAAACAGGAAGAGGAATCAATATGAAGAGAGGGGTGATGAGCTCAGATCTGGAGAAGTTAAGTCTGAGGAATCCATTTGGTTTCCATGTATAGATTTCAGGAAGGCAGTTTGGGAGACATGTTTGTAAATCATCAGTATGAACTCAAGGGCTCAGTGCTTAGAACACTGCCAGTCATGGAGTGGACACTCTGTAAGTGTTGAGTGAAAGGGATTGAGACCACTCACACAGATGGGTCAGGTAACAAAGGAAGACAAAGCAGAGCAGGACTCTGAAATGGAGTCAACATTTAAGGGCCTGGGAGAACGAGGAAGGAGCAGAAGGACTACAGAATGTGGTGTTGTGGTCGTCCAGGAAGACCACATTTCCAGAAGGAGGGATAGTCACAGGGGAATTTGAGAGTGGTCAGATGAGACCAGAGTACATCTTTCAGGCTAACAGAAGGCTGCTGGCAAAGTATGGTTGTGCAGGTAACACACTGCACAAGGCCAGTGGGCACCATGCCTATTGTGTACATTGTAGATACATGTGTTTGAGAGTACCTTTTTCTGACAGATGGAAGCAAGTGCCCTGATGGAGGGAGACTTTTTTCCAGTCCATACTGGAAAGGTCT